CCTATCCCTCACAAGGAAGCTGCTACCAATGGAGCTTCCTTTCTACCTAAAACCCTCCTAGTTGTGTTTGTTCCAAACCCTCAGGATCAACCTTTTTCACAGGCCATATAGTACCTTATATGTTAGGTAAGATGCTGACATCTATAATCAGAGAACTGCTTTGTTCCAGGCAGACTAAAAGTATAAGAAGATCTTTGACATACAAAAAAATGTTGATGTTTCAAATAGCACAGAGTGAGGTCCCGTGATACCCAGGGAAGGTCAGACAGATGATCAGATAGCTTACCAGGGCAGCATTCATCCTTGCAATTGAGTGCTCAATAAATATCCATTGTATATATAGTAGACTGATGCCTCTCCCAGATTTCCTTTATTGGATCCTTTTACAGCTGTGCATGCTGGCTGACTGCTAAATGAGATATGTATACAAAACACCGCTCTCTTGCCTCAAGGTGGAATCAACTCTATGATATAATCCATGTCCAAAGGCTCTCCATAGGATCAGCCTGAAGCTTGACTCCAGATAAGACCACCTCCTGGCTTAGCTCCCTTCCCTATTCTGTCCTGCTTCCTTCATTGCCTTTCTCCAGAAAGCACTCTCATAAAAAATTATGTACTCAAATCCTGTTTCAGTCTCTGCTTCTAAGGAAACTGACTTAAGACAATGCATGAGTAAAAGCCAAAAAATTGTAAAACCATTCATGTCCTTGACCTGGAGACAAGGCAAAGATATAGAAAATGATGACATGAAATCAGAGAGAGCAAAGGGCCACATGAACAGAGAAAATGCCTTTGTTGAGTAAAAAAAAAAAAAAAAAGAGCAGAGGTAACTTCAAACCATCCTAGTGGATACAAACCTCCTTGGCCATGCAGTTGGAGCAGTTCTAGGAATTTTTGCCATTGACATTAACATTTCCAGGTGGTAGTGGCCACTTGAAAGGACAGTGGAGAAAAAGATGGTGTGGGATTTCAGGTAGAACAGTCACAGAGCATTGGTGATAAGGTGTGAGGAGTCCAACAGACATGCTTCTGGAGCTGCAATGATGCTTTTCGTGAGGAACAACCAGACGATAATATCAGAACTCGCTGTGTGTTATATATAGATGACTCATTGTACATTATATATGTATATATAATTATACAGCCGTTCTTTTTTTTAAGATTTTATTTACTTATTTTTTTTAAAGATTTACTTTATTTATTTGACAGAGAGGGATGAAGCAGGAGAGGAAATACAAGCGGGGAGTGGGAGAGGGAGAAGCAGGCTCTCTGCTGAGCCAGGAGCCCGATGCGGGGCTCTATCCCAGGACCCCGGGATCATGACCTGAGCCGAAGGCAGATGCCTAACAACTGAGCCACCCAGGAGCCCCAAGATTTTATTTTTAAGTAACCTCTCCATCCAACATGGGGCTCCAACTTACAACCTCGAGATTAAGAGTTGCATATTCTGGGGCGCCTGGGGCGCTCAGTTGGTTAAGCGTCTGCCTTCGGCTCAGGTCATGATCCCAGGGTCCTGGGATAGAGCCCCGCATCGGGCTCCCGGCTCAGCGGGGAGCCTGCTTCTCCCTCTCTCTCTGCTGCTCCCCCTGCTTGTGCTCTATCCCTCTCTCTCTCAAATAAATAATAAAATCTTAAAAAAGAAAAAAAAGTTGCATATTCTACTGACTAAGCCAGCCAGGTGCCTCTATACAGCCATTCTTAATTCTTTTTTTTAATTTTATTTTTATTTTTATTTTTTTAAGATTTTATTTATTTGCGAGAGAGAGAATGAGAGACAGAGAGCATGAGAGGGAGGAGGGTCAGAGGGAGAAGAAGATTCCCTGCTGAGCAGGGAGCCCGATGTGGGACTTGATCCTGGGACTCCAGGATCATGACCTGAGCTGAAGGCAGTTGCTTAACCAACTGAGCCACCCAGGCGCCCTCTTTTTTTTTTTTTTTTTAAGATTTATTTATTTATTTATTTGAGAGAGAGAGAGAGTACATGAGATGGGGGGAGGGTCAGAGGGAGAAGCAGGCTCCTTTGCTGAGCAGGGAGCCTGATGTGGGACTCGATCCCAGGACTCCAGGATCATGACCTGAGCCGAAGGCAGTCGCTTAACCAACTGAGCCACCCAGGTGCCCCATTCTTAATTCTTAATCAAGTCTACCTCACAAGACTTATTCTTGTCTTTGGAGGAAGCAAGATACAGAGTATTTTGGTCATCCATTGTGGTCCCAAAACAAACCATCCCCAAACTTAGTGGCTTAAAGAAGCATACTTCTTTATGTTGCTTATATATCTGCAGTTTGGGGTGGGTTCAGCAGAGATGATGCCCCTCTGCTTCATCAGTGTCTGGGGCCTTAACCAGGAAGACCTGAGTGGCTGGGGTCTAGAATGGCTGGGGCTGGCTTCCTTGTCTCAGAGTGGCTGGGCTTCCTTTATGGCAGCTGGATTTCCTTAGAGCAAGTTCCGAAGGCACTCAAAAAGTGGCAAAACTTCTTGGATCTAGACTCAGAAGTTCCAGTGTATCACTTCCATCACAGTCTATTGGTTCAGCAAACACTAAGACCAGCCTATATTGAAGGAGTGGGGTAAATTAGTCCCCATCTCTCCATGGAAGGAGTGCAAAACAATTTACAGACTTATATACATATATTTTTCTTTAAGAGAGGGAGAGAGAGGGGGTGGGGAGGAGGAGAGGGAGGGAGGAAGAGAGAGAATCTTAAGCAGGCTCCATGCCCAGCACAGAGCCCAATGCAGGGTTCCATCTCACAACCCTGAGATCATGACCTGAGCCAAAATCAAGAGTCAGACGCTTAACTGACTGTGCTATCCAGGTGCCCCAAAAGGTGCATTTGGTGCCTGAACAGGGACTCGAATCAGCCATCTTTAATCCACTATGCAGAAGTATAAAGTGCAGGGGACTCTTTGACAACAACATTAAAGGAGAAAGAAGATAGCAATATTTCCCTTCATAGGTCAAGGTAAGATTTTGTTTGTTTTTTAAGGCAAGATAATTTGAGCAAAACAGGGCTAAGGAAAGAGAACCAGAGAAGGGAGTAGATTAAAGAAGAGAGAAAACATCTGCTGCAGCAAGGTTCTAAGGCAGCCATATTGCTGCTCTGTGGATGCAAACTGTTTTCTGTTATCCCTGAGTGTTGGTAAAATTATGTGAAACTTCATAGTCTGGGTTCAGTTTTGCTGTGGGGAATGAAGGAAAAGATTGGTTCCACTTCTGGCCTAGAGGAGTAGGGGCAGCAGTGCCGCCTGAAGCCAGGCCACGGCTTCATGTAAGCCACCTCCATCTGACAGGGTCCTTGCCAGACGGTAGGGCCATGTCTTCCATTTCCCTACCTCATCCTATACAGCCCTTGTAGAACACTGTAGCCAAAACCACCTGCAAACCAGAATGCCAGTGGTAGGGCCTAGGCCAAACAATACATTTCACAAAGGAATAGGAAGGATGTGTGGGTGGAGAGCTGGGGGTGAGGCTGGGGTGCTGCTAAGCTTCACCAGTCTTGAAGTGACTGCACAGTAAGGTAGGTCAGGACCTGGACATGAGTGTGGGGGTATATCCTAGAATCAGAATTCTGTGTTCTAAGGTAAAGCTGAAACTCTCCACAAGTATATGGAGGGGATTTCTTTGTTTCCCAGGGACTGCAGGGTGCTCAAACTCTGAGGTAACTGCTACAGGAATATTCTTCACCACACAAGGCTTGTGTCAGACAATGTTCTGGTTATCTATCGCTGAATAACAAACCTCTTGAAAACTTAGAGGTTTAAACCAGCAGCCAATTTATCATTTCTCAGGATTTTGGAAAAGGCACAGTAGGAAAGACTTACCTCTGTTTTAGGTAATGAGGAACAGCACAGATAGCTGGGACAACCTAGATGGCTTCTCCCCTCAATGACTGGTCCCTCAGCTGGAATAGGTTCATCAGGTTCATGTGCCCGGGACCTCAGTTCTTGGTGATAACTGGGTCCTTACTTTTCCTCCAAGTAGTCTCAGGGTCTTTCCCTCTCCATGTGGTCTCTGTGTGCCATCTTTCTACAGCAAGGTGGAAGAAGGGGAGCAGCTCAGGATTATCAAGAGCTCGAAATCAAGGTTACCCGGTATTCTCAAAGCTCATCTCTGAAATTGGCAGTCACTTCTGCCACATTCTTCCATTGGTTAAATCGAGTCACAGGTCCAGTCCAGGTTCCAGGGTCGATGACCCCATAAGGTTATACCGTGAAGAGGCATGTTTCAGTGGGGCCACCAAAGTAAGACTACCTGACAAGAACGTGTCTAGGAGCAGATGTGTGTGGGCTGAGGGTGCCCCAATTCCTAATTTTATATTGGCTTCTCTTCAGAGATGTTTGAGAACAAATAGTGGGGAGTAAGGTAACCCCAAACTTCCTCTACATTATTAAAGGTGGGGGATCTGGTCGGCCACTGGATCAGCCTGAATCAAGAAAGGCCGGGCTGTGTGTGTCTTTCTATTAGGCATTTATTGCGCATGGCTTAGGCGCTGGGTTCTTAACACACGTGTTACTTCGTTATCCCTCCTTTACAGAGGAGAAAGCGGAGGCTGGAACACAGCACTCTTTTCTACAGTACCGCACACCACGGTACACACCACGACGAAGCTCCTAGGCCCTTTCTGCCCCGCAGGTAGAGTCGGAGCAGAGCGGTGATGCCGGGGTCTCCGGGAGGGCAGTGCTCAACACGGCCGGCTTGCCCAGCGGAGCGGACGGCTCCCAAGCAGCCAACCGGAAGAGGATGCTAACCTGTCACCGCCGGGCCGCGGGACGAGCACTGGAGCGCTAAGGCGCCTTGAACCCGAGGCAGGCGGGGGTCTCATCAACCCGCAGACCCAGGGCCAGACACCCGCCTCCTGGGCCGAGCGTGCGGGACGAGAGCCAACCCGCGCCGCGCCCCGCCCACGCACGCACGCGTCGCCCCGCCTGCCGCGCCGCTCTGGCCCCGCCCTCAGGATTGACCGCCCGAGCCACCGTCCGCACAGCCCCGCCCCGCACGGCCAGGCAAAGCGGAGCCGGCCGTGCGGTGTGTGTGTATGTGTTCGCGGGGCGCCGTCTCAGCCCCGGGAAGATGGTGGTGGCGGCGGCGGCGGCCACTCAGGCAAGGCTGAGGAAGAGGACGGCGGCGACGACAACGCCTGCCGACAGGAACGGCGGACAGCGCCGGCACTGGGACGCGACCGGGGCTGGGAGGCCGGGGCTGGGGGCCGGGCTGCGCCTCTCGCGGCGGCGGTTGCTGCCGCTGCTGCTGCTGCTTGCGCCGCCGCTGCTGCTGCCCTGGGCGGCCGAGGCCGCGGCGGCGGCGGCGGCGGTGTCGGGCTCAGCCGTAGCCGAGGCCAAGGAATGTGACCGACCCTGTGTCAACGGCGGCCGCTGCAACCCTGGCACCGGCCAGTGCGTCTGCCCCGCTGGCTGGGTGGGCGAGCAATGCCAGCACTGCGGGGGCCGCTTCAGGTAAGTGGGGGGTGATGTTGGAGGGTCGGGCCCAGAGGGAGACTGAGGCTATGGGCAGGCAGCACGAGATGGTTCCAGGCCGGAGGCAGATGCCGGACAGAAAGTGGGGAGGATAGGGCCGCCCCACGGTGTTTGAGGACCCTTTGCTTCCGAGGAGATCATCGTCTCTGGCCTAGGGTCTTCTTGAACTGAAAGATGAAAAGATTCGAGGCAAGGGTGGAGGCACCCCAGAGAGGTTTGGGTGCGGCGGGTACAGGAGAAGAAAGCTCGGGGTCCCAAAGAGTATTAAAGCCAGTCCCTGAAACTGGGCCTCTTTTGGATAAACGAGGTGTACAAGAAAAGACGAGCTAGTCTTACTTAAACACTTCCTTTTAACATCCCCTTGTTCCCTAGGGCCTGAGGAGTTCCCGGACTCGTTGGAGATGTAGGGTACTCCGAAGAAACAGGGCCCTGGAAGTGATTTGTTGGCTGAAGATAGAAGGGAAAGGGTAGATCAGGATTGTGAGATACCAGAGATAGAAGAATCAGTGGTTGTTGGCTAGAGGAAAGTGAGGAAACGAGCCTTTTGAAGCTCACCAGAGGCGGCTGATTGGAACAGGGTGGAGAGGGCATAGAAGGAGGTTCCTGTTTGCCCTGATTTCTGGAGAATATGGAGTTCTGAGTTGGCCTGGTTTGGGACAGTACCTCCTGGAGAAATCATTAATTCATTAATTAAGAGTCATCTGTTATTTGCTTCAGTTGTGGAAGGATTTCTAGGTAATACGCATGAACAAGTAGATTAGCCAGACTTTGGCCTAGTCCACATGGAGTTTGGAATACAGCAAGAGAAAGATAGGTACACAAATGACCCTAGTCATAAGGACTACAGAGTCATTCATGCCTTTGGCAGATTTTACTAAACGTTTTTTTAAAAAAATTTTATTTATTTGAGAGAGAGAGAATGAGAGAGAGAGAGAGAGCGCACATGAGAGGGGGGAGGGTCAGAGGGCGAAGCGGACTCCCTGCCGAGCAGGGAGCCCGATGCGGGACTCGATCCCGGGACTCCAGGATCATGACCTGAGCCGAAGGCAGTCGCTTAACCAACTGAGCCACCCAGGCGCCCTTTACTAAACATTTTTGATGTCAGCTGTGGAGGAGTGGGGAAATACCGAGACCCAGGCAGCCTGGGTCCCTCCTCTCAGGGATCTTACAGTCTAGGCGGGAGGGGGGAGATAGGCAGTTAATAAGTAAATAAGCAAATAAATAAAGGAATAAACGAACAAGAAAATTTCAGGTAACAGTGCTGTCAAGAAAATAAAACAGGACGGCCTGATAGAGAATTATAACCAGTGAGTAACTTTAGGAGAAACCTCTCATTTGAAGTGACATTTGATCTGACCTGAATGGGGCACAATGGAGAACCTGTGGGAATTCAGGGAGGGAGGTTGTGACTAGCTGGGGGAATGCAAGGAAGACTTCAAGGAGAAAGTGACATTGGATTTGAGCGTTTGAAGCAAGTAGGATTTGGAACTGTGTAGCTGGGAAAAAAAATTCCAGATGGGAGGAAAATTGTAAACAAAATTGTGGAGACCAGAAAGTAAAGTTTTGCTGGTACGAGGGTATACGGAAGAGAAGAGAGTTGTGAGAGGGAGGTTTGGAATGGTAGAATTTAGACTCAGTGTCAGTTCTTCAGGGGAACTCAGAGAACATTGAGGAGCTGAGCACTTACTGTATTGTTATGGAGAAACCAAGTGGTTTCATGATCAGCGTGTAGTGCGTCTTGGGTTGTAACTTAACTTACAGCTGTAAGTAAGGTGTTCTGGTATATGCATTACATTAGCCTGCACATATTTATTGAGGGCTGCCCTGGGGTAAATTGTAAGATACAAGTGGCAAACAAGACCGACACAGTCCTGCTCTTGTGGAGCTTACATGCTAGCTTGGGAATAAGAAATTTAATAATCAACTTATTAGTATTTTGCCTGGGGCTATGGAGGCAAAGGAGAGGGCAAGCAGAGGACGTGACTTAGTTTGGAATGTTAAGGCTAGTGGCTCAGTGACTTTTGAGTTGAGATCTGAGAAGTAGAATAGCACTACCTACATGAGGGGTGGGGTGCTAAGGGGCCGGCATGTACAGAGGCTTGGGGATGAGGGGCATCATGGCAAGCTGAAGAGAAGGCCAGATAGCTGAAGCAGAGAGCAAATGGGAGCATGGCAAAACTGGAGGTAGGCAGGGGCCAGGCCATGTGAAGCCCTCTAGGTTGGGTTGAGAATTTTGACCTTTAGCTCTTGAGCAGTGGAATGGCGCAGTTAATTCACATTTTCATGACATTACAGGCTTTTAGATGGGAGCCAGAGCAGGAATGGCCTTGAAGGTAATAAGGCCAGAGTATTTTGAATTTGAGGCGCTTCTAAAAGCAAGTGAATGGACTGTTGTGTCAGATGAGAACCCTTTAAGTTCTGAGAATCTGGAATGCCATGGAAGGCAGTGGGGGCCCACAGGGTGTGGAGGAACATGCATAGCAAGATCAGTCTGTCTGTACTGGTCAGAGCGGGTGGACTCATTGTAAGCATGAGAGGTGGTGGGCAACTGGGTCAGGGCGGCAGTAACGAGAGCCTAGGATAGGTTGTGGGAATGGAGGCAGGGTGGGTGCTAGGTGATATTGCAGAGGTAAAAGACAGGTCTTGCTTTGAAACTGGTTTGTTCTGGGGAAGGGAGGGGGATGGTGAGGGAAAGAAAACTAAATCCTATCTTGGGTGACTGAGAGGATAGTAATACCTTACCGGACACAGGGACACAGGAGGAGCAGTTTTCTACACGCTGAGGTTAGGTGCTGTCAGGGTATCCACTTGGCAGGACAGGTGTAAGTGTTGGAGTCGTCCAGGTATAGAGGGACACAGCCAGGGAGAAAGAGCAGGTCTCTCTCTCATCCAGAGGATCGGAGAGGAGCCACTTGTTGTGGGGAATAAGCAGGCCTGACACTGGTTGTCTCAGATGGTGTCATTCATGAGTGAAGGGGCTCCCCTGGTTGTCGCGGATGCTCCAGTGGAGCAGCTTCAAGCTGGTGGCAGTGCTCTTTCCTGGGCAAACCGTTAGGACTTTGGTCCTGATAATTTCAGTATATTTTGTGCGCTTCTGGAATTTGCATTTTTAAAAAATGAAAGTAAGAGGAACTTAATGTCTCTGGCCTTTTAAAAAAAACTTTCATTAAACTGTTAGTGGAAGGATTATTTTAGGGAAGACTGAAATGTTGGTTTTGATTATAGTGGTACGTATCTTGATTTAACTCACAGACCTCTTTGTTATTAAACGAAGAGACATTCAAATGAATACCTTTCTGGTATGGATTCCATACCAGAACACTGCATCAAGGCGCAGTGTGTTTTTAAATCTTTTTAGTTCCATAAATCCTGTGTTATAATTGTTGTTAGAAGGTCTTTTCTAGTAATTGAAAGGAGTGTAGGATAATAAGAGGATTTGATCTCCCCAGAGTTATCACCGAATGCATAGTATATGTCAGGGATCTGGTCAAACATTTTCATATACATCATGTCATTTAATTTTCTGGAGAACTCTGAGGGTGTTCTATAAAATTTATATTAGTGTATGGTTGTGGTTAGAAAATCACTTAATTTTTTTCCAAATGAAAGGTACTACAGAAATGATTATTACAGAGGAGAATATTATTGATGTCAGTTTAGTAAAAGTAACTATGGAATCTTTGGTGGACAATTTCTTTTCTTTTTTTTTTTTAAAGATTCCATTTATTTATTTGAGAGAGAGAGAGGGAGAGAGAGAAGCGGACTCCAGCTGAGCAGAGAGCCTGATGTGGGACTTGATCCCAGGACCCCGGGATCATGACCTGAGCCGAAGGCAGATGCTTAACGGACTGAGCCACCCAGGCGCCCTGGTGGACAATTCTAAAGCAGTGCCAGTTTCATTCATTTTTATGTTACTGTTTATAATTCAGTGATCATTCTTTTTTTTTTTTTTTTAAAGATTTTATTTATTTGAGAGAGAGAGAGAGAGCACATGAGGGGGGGAGAGTCAGAGGGAGAAGCAGACTCCCTGCCGAGCAGGGAGCCCGATGTGGGACTCGATCCCAGGACTCCAGGATCATGACCTGAGCCAAAGGCAGTCGCCCAACCAACTGAGCCACCCAGGCGCCCAATTCAGTGATCATTCTTCTTGTGACATCACCATGGAGGTTTTTCTTCAGATGATAAATACATTCCATCAAATTAGAAATAAAGATATTAAGTCCATTTATGAAATTAATATGCATTTAATTCTTCTACGTTCCTGCTATCATCAGAAGTTTGGGAGGATAGACTAGAGTAGCCTAGTGAATGGGAGCCTTATAAGTATGCTGGATGTTAAGAACGTACCTTCTCTAGAATAAGGAAAGAAGTAGGCATTTATTAAGCATCTGTTTTGTTCCTGGCATATGGAATAATGGTGGTAGTAATGGCCCCAACACTAGCTGCCACCAGCATTTCTCCGTTTTTTCCTAGGTGTTGTGTCAAGTGCCTTTTAGAAATTACTCCTTTTAATCCTTAGAGTGAAGTTATTCCCATTTCACGGGTGAATTAAAGCTTGGAGATACTGAGTAACTTGCACCATCTCATACAACCTGTGAAAAACTGGACTGGGATTTGAATTCAGGCCTTATTAATTCCCACTCTCTTGCTTTCCAGTGTACCATTTGGCTTCTCATTTTCTCTTGAGTCCAGTCACAATTTATGAACATTCTTTGGAAGGGCTGCCTAGTGCCATTGAGAAACAGATTAAGAAACAAAGGAGGAAAAATAGATTTATTACAACACTAAAGCCAGCATTAAAAAAAACAAAACAAAACCTTAACTCAAACCTGTTTGGCTACTGGCAAGGACATAAATACCTATAACCAGTGAAATGAAAATTCTGGAAAATAAAATTTGAAAAAAGAAAAGTAAAAAAAAAAATTTTGGAGAGGTTTTATAGTAGTATTAACCTAAAGCCTTAAATTTATGTTCATGAA